GCTCCGGGTAAAACTTTATATATACCGGGCAATGGAAGACTTAATTTCAGGCGTAAGCCTGGACACTATGGAGCTTGGGCAGCTGGTAATCTACGAGACGATAGTTGGTTTCAGGTGAATTTTGGGCGTTTCGTTAAAGTGACGATAGTTTCCACTCAAGGAAGAGAGGATGATCCAGACTGGGTGAAAAAGTATCGTCTGACTTACAGTGATGACGGAAAATCTTTCCGTGACTACCTGGAAGACGGTTCTGTCAAGGTAATTTTTCCTCAATCTAAAACCCAATATTTTTTTGTGTGTGTTGTTTTGTTTTAATCAAGAGAGGATTAAAAGCAAGGGAGTAAGTCCCCCGTATAGACCTTGCTTCCAAGGTAATTCCTCAAGTTAGTTTTAGAACACTCCTGGTTTCCAAAATTACAGGAAGGTCCAGAAATAGCCAATCACATCGAGGATTATATTCGCGTGGAAAGCCCAAACCGTTTTACATGCATTTTCATCCTCCATTAAATCATCCACGCAACACCTGTAGTGTCTAACCGCCAAACCGCCCATCCAGTGGTTTAAAGGTCTAAACTTAACTTGAGAGTGATTACAATGGTAATAAAGCCTACTTTAAGGTATTATGATAGGTTGATTGACAGTGTTTGGAAAACGTGCTCTTACGCTGACGCTTTGAAAGAAAACCCCATCAACTTACACATTTTCTGAGGACTTAATAGTTATAGAATATAAACATGTCTTTGAATTTTTCAAAAAAATGTATTGTCACAGTGATATTAAAAGAAATACCCAGAAACACTGCTTCGCTTAAACTGGTTCGCTTCCGCGCGTGAATTATCGGAGCGGTGCGATTAACATCGGAAATGTCTCAGACATCACCCTCAAAAAGGGTGTCGGCGATTTTCCCGATGTGATTTGGTTTTTTTCTACACACTCCAACAGTTTGATATTTTCAATGCGACTGTTTTCTTCTACTAAAAAGGCCATAACTTTGAAACGAAGGCGAAATTAAACAAAGCCCGTCACCCTTTTCCGAAGCAGGTATCCAGGAACATACATGCTGCTTTTCAGCCAATTCCATCGGAAGACGCGCGTAAACGAACTAAAAATGTTTATCCTAATATACAGTTTTATTTTATCGAGAAAAAGACGAAAAATCTTTTATGAGATTGGTATGATGAGGTGTTAAAAATCCCCTCCGCACTGACAGATGTCGGCATGGGTCAGTATACCATAACAATGGCTCATGATAACTTGAAATAAACAAACGTCCACAATTCTGGCGCGGAAACCCGTCGCAGTGAAATCCTCCGAGAAGCGACAACTGCCAAGAGCTTTACACAGGTTGGTATTTAGCCTGCCACGAATTATTTTACTCACAATAGAAGATTTCGTCGGCGTTATTGGTATTTTGTCGCTTAAGTTTAGGCTTCTTTGTTCTCCAGACATTTTTTGAAACCATGCCTTGTTAAGCCAAAAGAGGAAATCTCGAGGTTTATATCTGCGCTTGACTCTCTCGTTGTGGAAGTTTCGCAATCGCGTCCGTTCTCCAGCAATAGACCTTTTTCGCTTGGGCAGTTTGTTGTCCCATTACAGACCACGTGATATTCTCTAGAGAATTGTTCTTTTATCCATCTAAAAATTATTTTTTCATATATACGCGACTATTTGAAAATTTGAAAGGAAGAATTCTCAAGAGTATCATCACATGGTCTGAAATGGGGCAACAAACCGCCCAGTCGAAAACGGTCTATTTCGTGTGACTTGTACTTGTTGTTTGTCCTTGAGCCTCTTAGCGGGACAAGTGTCCTCGAGTTCCTTTAACCATTCTTCTTGGTTACAGTGCGACCCACAGTCACTCAGAGCTAACGATCTTGTTCGACGCTGACAAGTTTCCACCAAATTTTCACCTCTTCGGCTTCTTCCAAGACGAAAATGGGCAAAAAACGTTCTTGCGTTTTCGTCCTGACATAAAGAAAATTTGACAAGAACGAAAGCTAACTAGCGATGAAACAACCCAGATCGAGAACAGTTTGCGTGAGCAGATGAAATATCATCACATCGCATTTCGCATTATACGTGACAACTGGCGGTGAGTTTTAATTATAGGTGTCAACGCGCCGTAAGGGGTTAGTAAGGTTCAAAAAATAATTTTTCTCTTTATCTTAAGAAAGTACAAAAGCTTTTTTCCCCCATTCTTTTTGCAAAATGTTTCTTTCAGTTTCCTCGATTTGAACATTAAAAAAGATTTTTCGCAATTTTTGTAAAAATTCACCTTCCATGATACCTTAACTCTCTGTTACTCTTCATCCACTCTTGGTTGTAATTTGTTTATATTCCGCGCGTGCTATTGTGTCGTTTTAGTCAATTATGTCATGTTGGTAATCAAGAAAGCCATATTCTTTTTTCTCTTTAAGGAATTTGTAGGGAATAAGGATCGATTCTCAATTGTGAGTCACAAGCTAAAGAATCCTATTATTGCACGCTACATCCGAATCAATCCATTGGAATACCATCTCTGGATTTCATTGAGGGCTGATTTCTATGGTTGTAAATCAGGTACGGAGCTGTCAACGTCGAAATAGTAGCAAAGGGAGCTGCTGTGGCTGTATCAGTAGCAGCATCAGCTACATTAGCGGTAGCTGTAGCCAGTGGTTGCTTTGCTGGTCGGGGTAGTAGTAGAGGTAGTGTTCGTGGTTGTGGTGGTGATAGGGGTCGCGGTTGCAGTAGACGGCAGCGTTAGCCGGCTGCGCTAACCGGCAGCGCTAGCCGGCAGCTCTAGCCGGCAGCGCTAGCCGGCAGCGCTGGCCGACAGCAATAGTCGCAACAAATATCAACTCGCACATATTACTAACAATGGACTTTTTATGTAATGTTTGTACCTTAATCCTGAAGAGACTTCCTCACACTAGTTTCTTTTTCGTTTATTATTTCCGTCGCAATGAAGTTTTATATCTATCTGTATTTTTACATCAACAGTTCACTGATACATATACTCTTAGAAAAAAGTCCTACGAAAATACGTGCGCTGCTTGGTTAAAAATCGTGTTTCCATAACTCGATAGAAACACAGAACTAGCATGAGCTGTTGACGTAATGATGGCGCGAGCATAGAGAATTTACATTTTGATAATCAAAGTTAACAAGTTTTTNAATTGTGAGTCACAAGCTAAAGAATCCTATTATTGCACGCTACATCCGAATCAATCCATTGGAATACCATCTCTGGATTTCATTGAGGGCTGATTTCTATGGTTGTAAATCAGGTACGGAGCTGTCAACGTCGAAATAGTAGCAAAGGGAGCTGCTGTGGCTGTATCAGTAGCAGCATCAGCTACATTAGCGGTAGCTGTAGCCAGTGGTTGCTTTGCTGGTCGGGGTAGTAGTAGAGGTAGTGTTCGTGGTTGTGGTGGTGATAGGGGTCGCGGTTGCAGTAGACGGCAGCGTTAGCCGGCTGCGCTAACCGGCAGCGCTAGCCGGCAGCTCTAGCCGGCAGCGCTAGCCGGCAGCGCTGGCCGACAGCAATAGTCGCAACAAATATCAACTCGCACATATTACTAACAGCGGACTTTTTATGTAATGTTTGTACTTTAATCCTGAAGAGACTTCCTCACACTAGTTTCTTTTTCATTTATTATTTCCGTCGCAATGAAGTTTTATATTTATCTGTATTTTTTACATCAACAGTTCACTGATACATATACTCTTAGAAAAAGGTCCTACGAAAATACGTGCGCTGATTGGTTAAAAATCGTGTTTCCATAACTCGATAGAAACACAGAACTAGCATGAGCTGTTGACGTAATGATGGCGCGAGCATAGAGAATTTACATTTTGATAATCAAAGTTAACAAGTTTTTTTTATTTTTTTCTTCGCGATGTTTTCTAAAAGAAATAGAAAACATGTTCTCCGTGTTTCTATCGAGTTATAGAAACACGAGTGGAAGTTTGGGAGAACGAGAAATGCTGTGGGAACAAGCCGCAGAAACGCGGTACATGTTTTCCATTTCTTAAATAAAAGAACTATTTAACAAGTAGATTATGAGCTCGAGATTTCTAGCTGATGAGGCTGAAGGCCGAATCAACTATCGCCTCATAGTAATAGAGAGCGAAGGATCTATGTTTTAGTACTATTCTAAGTGAAATTTCCTTAAAATAACGATTCCAATTATTTCTGGTATTAGTATTAAACTTCACGCTTTAGAGAATTCGCGCGGACTGAATTAATTGTCAATTTGACATTTGCAGTTGTGTAAGTGCGGTTATCAAGTTTTTTAAAAATTTTCGAGCTTTTCTAATCCAAGAAACCGTAAATGCCCTCCTCTTAGCTTTCTCAGGAATTTTATTTACTCGTTTATTTCTAAATGTTCTTTCAAAACGTCGGACAAACGAGGACACGTTACGATTCAATTTTGTGGACCAGACCAAGCCACTGCATTCTAATGGCTGATAGTGTTCAATGGCTCAGCAGCCAATCAAATAACATTATTTGCATAATTAGTATACTAGTAGAAATCTACTGAAAAAAATACATCATACATTTTTAGGAGAGGGGGATACTTTTGAATAAAAAAAGGTTAAAGTCAGGATAAGAGGCACCTGTTAGTATCATTACATTAGGAAAAAATCCAAAACGGAAAATAGGGGATTTCTTGTATTGATTTTTACTTGTCTAGTCTCATTGTTATAATTAAAGGTGTAGGTCTCTTGCACATTGTAACCCCGTTTTTTTTCTTCTTCTCCAGGAAATGCGGATAAAGGTATGTACTCTGAAAAATAAGAAAGTCTCAAATTTTCATCACCAGTCTGCTTTCATAGTCCTTAACATTACCCATACAACTAGCCTATATAATTTGATCGTGATCTATGCTAGGGATATTTGAATGTACAAATAATTGGATTGCATGCATCGAGAAGTTGTAGGATGAAACTTAAGAGTTTTAATTCATTCTGCTATTTTCAAAATTAAGAATTACATGCACTTCACTGATTTTCGTACGTGTACAGTATTAAAACTACAAAGCTTAGTCAATGTTAATTCAATCAATTTATTAAGTACGTCGTCAGAATGTGCAGCCAATACGAAAAGCGATTGCTATTTTGGAACTTCCAAATGACCACTCAAAATGTCTAATGAGCTAGTAAAGGTCAAAAAATATATCAGTTTAACATAAAATGCGCTAGTCTGCTATAAAGTGTTATAGTTAACTTAAATTTATTGAGAACGGAAATTTAAGGCAAATATGTACGGTATCCATTGGTTGTCATACAGTCAAACCTCCCGTAAGCGACCACCCAAAATGTCGAGCCTAGGTGGTCGTTTACGGGAGGTGGTCGCTTACGAGAGCTTAGACCATACTGCGTCAAAATTTTGCCTCATTAGCATATGGTAATTGCAGAGACTTACCCCATGTTTTAAATGCTTTATTCGTTGGAAAAATAATTTCGAGAAAGATTCTGATTCTTCCCATCAAGACATTTCCGTCCCCTGTACTATCCAGGAACCCGACAATGTTACAATACCTTATTCTCCAGTTTACGCTCTATTATCTGTTAAGTGGTCGTTTACGGGAGGTTAAAAACAAAAGACAATTTCAAACTTTTAGCTCTAAAAGTGGTCGCGGTCGCTTACGAGAGCTGGTCGCCTACAAGAGGTTCCAAATATAGTGATTCGACTTGGAAACTTTTGGTATTTTGGAAAACTGTTCGCTGAGTAGAGGTGGTCGCTTACGAGAGGTGGTCGCAACCGGAGGTTCGACTGTAGTTAAAAGACCCCCCAAGCTACAGCTTTTTTACCCAAAGGCCTGAGTTAAATCGGTTTTGTAGCCTTATCAATAGACCTAAGTTTCGTACTGCAGCACTGCAAATACTCATGAATTTCTGCCAAAAAGATTCATTTTATATAAAAAAGAAGGTGCTTTGCTTAGTTATGGGTTCTATTACACTTCACTTTTGTTAATACTTTCAGGTTGCCAAGAAGAAGCCCTCGGAATGGAAAATGGGGAAATCCCCAACTCTGACATCAAAGCTAACTACGAGGTAAATGCAGTACATTTTTAGCGAAACTCCGGCGGCCCGAATGGCCGCCAAGCGAAGCCCCATACCCATATAGGAAAGAGCAAGAAACCCATGAATTGATTTTCTCATGGTTATCATGGCTAGCGGTATTGCTCGTGGGCGCGTACGCACGACGACGACGACG